TGGAAACATGTGAAGGACAAAGACTTCTACAATGTGGAGAACATTTGTATAGAGCTGTAGGAAAATCTACAAAGGCAAGACTGATCTGAAGTGCTGACTACTACTTTTATAACAACGGCTGTATTTTATTACAATGTGTTATTACTTGTGTTGACCAGCACATTCTGTTTTTGGTATGTCTTGGTACAAACAGCAGTGGCCAGTGAAACTGAAAAAATTGCACTTTTGTCCAATCTTTAACTTTTACTAAAGTTACTGCCGTTTGCCTCTGTGGGGCACACACTGCTTTCAGGCTGAAATACAGGCCGTGCATGCATGGAACAAACAGAAAAGATCCCTATTAAAATAAATCTAAAACCTTACTGGCCTTCTTCATTGAACAAACAACTGACTATTAAACTGCTGGACCCACAGCAGCAGTATAAGAACCACCACATACTGGAAATACAGTATGACCTCGTGTCCTTACTTCAAAGCATTCTCCCAGCTGGTTCACAACATTGCCATGACATATTTTATGTAGTATAAGAACCTGTAAAACTGTGTTGTTTATCCGCACACATCAAGTTACTCAGTATTTATGGTCTGAAAGAGTTTTAAAGAGCACCAAAACTCTGCTGTAAAGACTTCAGATGAACCATTTTGATTGTCCACAGTTTTGTGCCATACAGGGCTGATCTGTATGAAACCTGTCAGTGTAAATACAAAAGTCCGAGCATTCAAAGTGCTGCGGAAGTGCTGAGGAATGCTTTAATCCAAAGCACTTTACTATTTACTACGCCTTCACCCATGCAAGGGACTGGCTAACCATCTGAAGGAATTGGAGGACAAAAATGACTTATTCATAAATACATATCTAAACTATGTATATATATGGTCCCCATATTCACACCAAATTGTTGAAGAAATGGAGCGCTACCGGAATACAGTAGGTAAGTATACTTTATCGCTCCATAAACTGTTTCAATTTCCAGATGAGGAAAATAATTGTCACACAGCTACTACTGGCTTTGTTGGATTATGCTGACATTGTTTATCAGAATACGTTTGACTCTGATCTTCAACCCCTTACGTAATTTACAACATTACTACAAGTCATCACTGCTCCACGTATGAAATCCTGAACTGGCTACCTCTTAATGTAAGAAGACATTACCATTGGCTCCGATGTGTTTCTTTCCCTCTTACCTAAAATAACATTTATTACCATGCACTTCATCATACTCCTTTAGACTCTATTACCCCCGCGGCCTTTACTCAGAGGTTCCTCACCAGCAAGAGAGTTTTAACCAGTTTCATCCCATCGACTTGTCTGAGCTTTTAAAAACAGTATCACAAATGAGTGTCCTCCAGCCCACTTGATGTAATACCTTCAAAGTTTTTACTGAAAGTAATAGATTCTGTTGGGCCCCATTTGATCTCTGTTTTCAACAACTCCCTATCTACTGGTTGTGTCCCTGATTATTTTAAAACGGCTTGCGTGAACCCACTTTTAAAGAAACCTGGTTTAGATCCCTCCCTCCCACATAATTCAAAGATTCTAGAAAGAAACAAAATATCAAAATATTTGAAAAGTTTCAATCTGGTTTTAGGAAGTACCACAGCACTGAGACTGCCCTGCTTAAAGTCACCAATGACCTTTTAATGTCTGCTGATGAAGGTATGTGCTCAGTCCTAGTACTCCTGGACCTTAGCGCTGCTTTTGACACCATTGATCACAACATCATGTTAGACAGACTGAGGCACTGGGTGGGGATCTCTGGTACTGCCCTAGAATGGTTTTCATCCTACCTGTCAAATAGGAAGTTTTGCGTGTCTGTAAACAACTATGTCTCTTCGTTCTGTCCAGTTAAATATGGTGTGCCTCAGGGGTCGGTCTTAGGACCCATTTTGTTTTCCTTGTATCTGCTTCCCCTTGGACATATTATCCATAAACATGGCATTTCTTTTCATATTTATGCTGATGACACACAAATATACTTGCCCGTCAGATCCACAGACCCTGGAATGCTGAGTTCACTTAACAACTGCCTTTGTGAAGTTAAAAAATGGATGTCAAATAATTTCCTCCAGCTGAACTCAGACAAAACAGAAATCCTGGTCATCGGGTCCCAGCAGATGGCAAATCAAATACTGCCATCTGCTGGTTCCCTAGTAAAACACATTAAGCCTGTGGCAAAGAACCTTGGTGTTTGGTTTGATAATAATTTAAATTTCGAGCAGCACACCACAAAGCTTGTTCAATCATGTTTTTATCAACTTAGAAATATAGCAAAAATTCGATCTATGTTAACTCTTAAGGACACCGAGACCATTTTACACGCCTTCATCTCATCACGCCTGGATTATTGCAACAGCCTTTTCACCTGTTTAACCCAAAAATCTATTGATCGATTACTCCTATTTTAGCTTCATTACACTGGCTCCCAGTATGTTTTAGAATTGACTTTAAAATTCTATTGATCACTTTTAAAGCTCTTCATGGCCTCTCGCCTTGTTATATTTCTGAACTTTTAGTCCCATACACACCAGCACGTACCTTGAGATCCTCGGGCAGGGTCTGTCTGTCTGTTCCAGAGTCTCACTGAAAACTAAAGGGGACAGAGCGTTTGCTGTCAGGGCCCCGAGCTCTGGAACAGCCTGCCCGAGGAAATCAGGTCGGCTGAGTCAGTGAACTCTTTTAAGTCCCTTCTTAAAACATACTTTTATAGGAGAGCCTTTCCCAATCTTATTTGACTTTATTTTATCCCTTTTATTTTATTGTATTTTACTAATTTTATATTTATCTGTATTTTAGTCTTTTCAATGTTTTCATGCTTGTTTCATGCTATCTTGTATTGTTTTTGTATTATTGTCTCTTGGGTATTATTGTCTTTACACTTGTTAAAGCACCTTGTAACTTGTTTTTGAAAAGTGCTCTACAAATAAAGATTATTATTATTATTAGACACGCTCAGCAACTTTTTTTTCTTTCTTGTTCCTAAAAACTAAAAAAGAAATTGGCAGACGTGCCTTTAAATATAAAGCTCTCCTGACAGAAACTACCTCCCTTCTAACAGAAGAACAAAAATTCATTACGCCTCTTTTACAATTCATTATTACTTTTTCTCAAAACACAATGCAGCTACGTTATGCTATGTTAAAGCTATGTTATGTTCCTCTGTATGTACCTTTCTATGTACTTTGTGTGGGTGACGCAGGTTTCTGGGAATGTTGTGCGGGAGGGTTGGTAAAGGAGAGCCTTTTTTTGTATGAATGTATATCTCCTGTATGTATCACTTGTGATTGTGTTTGTTTGAGGACCCCCTAGAAAATGTGATGGTTCATCTCACTTTTAAATTATGCTACTCTTTGCTAAAAAAGTAATCATATTACTGTAATGTTAATAATGTGTCCAACTGCCCAACACTGTGATTAACAGACACAGAAATACATAACCTGTTTCTCTACATGAAAAGATGCCTGTCGATGCCTAATATGGTACACAGAAGACTGCATCCACGTTTTACAGAATATGAGGCCTGCATCATGTCATTTCATGTTTTGCTTTAGTTTTGCATTTTCCAAAAGTTTCAATTGAATAAGCATAAGTCACTTGGAATACAGTAAGTTAGAACGTGCAACAAGTTCTTTCTGTAATACTTTCACACTGGAAACACAACCCGTGCTTCCGTACCTCAGGCTTTGCAACTCAGCTCAGCATTTCAGCCGTCCAATAGATCTGTGTGGGTGCATGTGCCTCTGTGTACAAATTTAGTACCGTTGTGACAGACTCGAGGTCAGCAGGAACACAGAGGAGCGAACAGAGTATCAGTTCTCTTCTCACACTTGTGCTGACTGACTCTGGCACGCTGCGCTGTCATGAGGCCAATGCTGGTTCAACACATGCCTGGACGTGGGTTTGAATCAACACATGTTTATACAGCATATACACAAACACTGACTGTAACATTTCTATATATAGGCGAGAACAATATAAACCAGTAAGATGAATTCAACTGATTATCGAATGAGCAAAAAAGCCACGTTCACTGAACATTACAGAATAAACAATACAAAAGATTTTTATTTACATACAGGATGTGGTCTTCATTGTTACTGAAATAGACTTAACAAGGCGAGCAACGAAGAACCAACACAGCAAATGTAAGCATAATGTTAATTTCCATGTTTGCAGTCATCTTCAATGTACCATTTTTAACACAAAGCAAACGCTGTCAGGGAAATAAATTAGTTTCTCACCACCACGAAGATGGAAAGAATGGCCCTGGTGTACGTGGTTTCACTATAATCATATCAAATGTCTGCTACTTCCTTTTATGTCAAGCTGCACTATAGATCAAATCCAGTGTGTTTCAAACTATTCTTCAAAACAGGACGCAAAGGGGACTAAAACTTAAATACAAATCAAATCACCACCAGAAATCTATTTTGTAGCATCGATGAACAGATGGCAGCCAGATATGTCTAAGAAAAAGTCACTACTTCATTTAATTCAACTTAACGCTGACTTGTACTAAAACTTTGAAGAAGTGATGAAACTATTTATGAAACAAGCTGAAACTCCATATCTCCATATTTCCACTGACAGTAAAGTTGCTGTGCATGTTAATGTAACCTGGTGGGTTAATTCATGCAAGATGTGAGGGTTTGTGGACTTAAAAGGTTAGTGTTACTTCTCTCCTTTCATTTTCCAAAGCAAGTCGTATCATTTGAGATATACAAACCATTCTGATTATTTGCTCTAATATCCAGTCACTAAGGTCTAATGTATTTCATTGGTCATATGCTTCCTCACACATGTTCTTCCTCATGTAAATGAATTGTTAATACCAGGCCACAGAAAAGGGCAAACTTATTTTCATGTGAGACAAATGTGACACCAGTAAACCCTGAAGGCCAAATATAATTAAATATTCCTCCTTGATTGAGTCCAGCCTGCTCTGTAAAGACCAACTTCAAATGAAACCCATCAATAAAAGAAATAAAAGAACACTAAATTAGAAACAGCAAAAGATTTATTCACCAGTCAAAACATAAACTTCAAAACATGAGGTCTGAGGAGCGAAATCCTCACGGTGATGCATGCATGCCAAGACTTCTGTTACCTGACATAATGAGTTTCACTGCAAGCTGTAGGGGCTACAACAGAATGGATGTAGTGGACAAACTAGTCTGTGTATTTCCACTGTGTGGTACAGGGTTTGTCAGGTTATCAATAAAAACATACTGTCAGTGATGGGAAACATATTTCTTATAATACCTCCTTTCAAATCAGACCCAAATGACAGGTGGGCTGGAGAGAGCAAGAGGACAAAAATAATACAATATAGCAGTGTGTCTGAAAGATAACTAATTTTCAACATGAATTAACAGGGGAAGCTATATTAGTCAACAAACAGGTCTTGGAGAAGAGCTTGCAGCGTTCATGCAAGATGGTAGGTGTGTTTTTGGTACATCTTAATCAGGGGAGTGGGACTTTGCAGGAAGTAAGAAGAGTCTATCCAAACTTGTATGCCCCCTCTGTACCAAGCAAGGGGAAAAGGGTGGCAGTGGTGGTGGGTTATCAGTTCTCGAGGAAAGCCACGTAGTCAGTGAGTCTGGCCAACTGCTGCTCATTTGGAACCAATGAGACGGGGGGAGGATCTGTTGAGAGAGACGAAAGAGACAGAGGAGGAGAAGCTGAGTCAGAGGGGAACTCTCACTGTGCCAAGTACTATCGATCTTCTTGCATCTCCCCAGCTTTAACTCGGTGGCTGGAACACGTGTGCTGGTTTAACTCAGACAGACTCAGCAGGCCTAAGTTAACCACACTTTCAACATCTGAGGTCACCGCTTCCCCATGACCTGTTTAACAACGCTACAGCGTCTCCCCATGTGAGTGTGAGACACTCCGCCTGGAGATCATTACAACACATCTATCCTAACCAGATTTCCTCTGTGAGATCCACTCAACCACCAATATTACCAAGCCATATTAAGTCCTAGCGGCGGTGTGGAAGGGGAACAGGCTGACATGTGAGGATTAATGGTGAGTGGGTTAGCGTTTTGTGCTGGACATGTGTGCAGCAGATGCTTCTGCAGCAATGTCCAATGATTACAGAGAAGAGGACAGACCGCAGCCTACTCCTTTACTGTTTGCATAAATCAGTAGGTTTCTCTTCCAAGATGGATCAATCAGTGGCTCTCTGGGCTTGAGGACATGTGATGATGTGATACAAATTTTGACAAAATAAGGGAGCACATGAGAAGAAGAAAAATGGAATGGATGAGGGAAGTTTTGGAAATATGGACATGAGACAAGTAAGCAAATTTCAAGAGATTATAGCAAAAAGGACAATGTCATTCGTCTTTCATTGAAGTTAAAATGGCTCCAAAATCTCAGCTCTCGACATTTTTTATGTATGTGTAATAAAATCTAGAGGAGGAAGGTGGGTGCCGGATTACTCATGACGAGAAAACCGTTTGGGCAACACAACGGTGGGCTGATGGCGGGTACAAATTAAAAGCACAATACTGCCACCTACCTGGCTTTTTGGGCATCACCATCCTGGTAGTGGGGTCTGCCTGCCAGCCCTGGCTCACCACACCTAAGGACAAAGACAGGTGGAAAGAAGAAGAAAATACCCCCATCAGCAAATGTATAAATGGTTATGTGATGGACATGCATTAAATTACTGTAGACAACTGTAAAAAACAAAACAAAAAAACAATGCATCTGTTTTATTACAAAATATTTATCTTTTGAATTATTTATACACAATTACCAGTGATGATATAAAATTTCCTATTAGGAGGTTGTGTAAATTCAATCTTACCCTTTACGGCCTCTTCCACAGAGTATCCCACAAAGGCAGCGAAATCCTCTGCTGTGATGGAAGTGTATGCCTGTGCCACTAGACTGTACGCCCTTTGCCGTGTGCTCTCTGTGAAGGATGCATTAACCACAGAGCATTACTACCAGATAGGTACATATGAGTATGGAAGTGCATATGTGCTAAAACGGTGCTCTGGTTCTATTTAAAGTGCAGACAGTGCATGTATGTACAGTTCACGGGCAACAGCAACTTACTGCGGACCTGCAGACACGAGAACAATAAGTTGTTATGAGAGTTATGATTCTTGTAAACAAATCTACTAATTAGCAACAGCACTGGGGATTCTACGCTGTGAATAACAATCAAGATTGACATGTAGGGTTTGGAAGCCAGGGGCTGTGTTGTGCTATGATCATTAGCAGTCACAGGTGGGTATGTTTAGGTAAAATGTCATGTGAATGCTCTTATGGTCTGGTTATGGTAATTCTGTGTGTTTGAGTTCATGAAGGTGCTTCCTTACACCACTGCATCTCCTCGACACCCCAAACACACACACACAAACACACAATTTAACAACTGACAGGAGCTGGTTTGGGATTCAAATAAAATGAAGCTATTCTGAACAAAACCTTGGTGGTCTGCCTTTAACTGCTTTGAGCACCTGGGTTTATTTTAAATCAAATGGTGCATTTTGTTGTTAGGAAACCTTTGATTTGATAGTGATGAACCGATGAGCTAAAAGAAAAAGTAGGGCCCAATGTGGAAAACGCAGACGGAATTGTGGAATTTGATAATTAATAATGGAATCAACTGTAAAATGGGGAATATTGTGGAATCTGCCAAAATGTGGAGGCAGAATATTCGTCCCAGCACTTAAGCTATACAAACAGAAAAAACTACGCTGCTAGGTATTGATGTCACATCGGCAGATGCAAGACTTTATGGCTGTGTGGGCGGAGTCAGATATTCTGTTAGAAAAAATGAAAAAGCTACACCCAGTCAAGCTTTGCCTGAACGTGAGAGTCAGACCGTCAGACTCACTTATTACAGTGTGTTCGAGCAGCATAGAAGCTGTCCTGCAGAAGACCCGTGGGAAGAAATTGTCAGTGGTCAAGTAATAACCTATTTACAGTGCTGTTGCAATACATTCATTGTGAATTGTACCCCATTAAATAGTAATAAAGTATTTTAATATCCTACTGCTGCATATATACAATATTTTTTATATTTTCTTAATGAATTTACCTTTTTTTTTTTTTTTATCCACCACATGATTATGCACTCTTTCTGATGACAAAAAAAAATGTAATATTGGAAAAATTATAACGGATATCATAGAGCCCTAAATAAGAAATTAAGATGTTCCATAATCTAGCATATTTAACAATAGATCTTATTAAATGAAGCATGCTTAAGATGAATCATCAACATTATATGCTGTGCATACACAACAAACACCTAAGTCTGTATCAGCAGGCACAGGCTTAGGCTTCTAAAATGCCAAAGCTGACCTATTTATATAGCTTGACTTGACATGATGCTGTAGTTTGTGGAGATAACTTTGAGAGACGGCGGCATGCATTTGCTGCTGCTCCTGCAGCTATCATGTAAATGCCTCAGGGTTGTGGCCTTTCGTGTTTTATAGCCTAGCAACGATGTATGTGTACCAACAGTCAGTCCCCAGTCTACTGCAGCAGCTAGCAGCAGTAACAATAACAAGTGGGATGAGAAAAGACAGCTGTGTGGGGAAGGCTGGAGATCTTTCAAGTGCTTTCTCATCCTGCTGTCCAAAGGGCTTCCTGTTCACCCTGTTATTGTACTCTTCTAAAAACAAGTGGAAGGACTGACAGTATTAATCTGAAAAACTGTTTCAAGAAGTGTTTATGTATTGTGTTTGAAGGTACTTCATTTTTATTTTGTTATGGTTTTAATCAAAGTTCTGTTTGTAGAGTAATCCACACTTGTGATTAAAACAGATTATCTCAATGGACGGGTCACAGAGAAATGTGGATGACTGTTCCTCTCTCTAGCTAGTATAAAACTCTGATCTGTTAGAAGTGAAGTATATCTCACTTTGTAAAACTGCTTCATCTGTTGGGACAACTTTCTTGCACCTGACTGGCTGCATACTAGAAAAGAAATGAGGACTCTGAGCAAATGCTCCCAACAAAGCCAAGCAGGTCATTTCAAAGGTACTTTTTGTAACCCAGTCCCTAGCAAGGCATTTATTTTTACCATGGCGTGTTGGGAGATGACTTTTGTGGCAACTGGACCAGCCTTTCTTAGTTTGCCCTTCTGACACTCCGGAGTTGGGCTGGAGCTGCTGAGCAAGACGTCCATGAGTGGGAGGATAGGAGTTTTATGGAGCAGAAACAGGACCTGGCCTGTCCTTCCCTGACAGTCTATTCTAAGTCCGCTATCACTTCTCACCCTCTCACCTCTTAAAAATAGCCCCCACTTTTCACCAGCAAAGGCAAAGCAGACAGGACATGGCAAGGGCTTTTATTTTTAAATACAGCCAATTGCCAAGTAAGAGCAGCAACAGACTGGGGATATGTGTTTATGACCAAAATAATATCTTCATATGTTTTCTTCCTTTGTTTACTCCCTTAAATTAAACCTCATGTTGTTTTTAGTAATAAAGCAAATATATGCTTAACTTCATGCAGCTTTATTCCACATTCCATTAAAGACAGATTTGGTGATTACAGGCAGATCAGCTGGTCACCAATTAAACACACAGTTAGACAAAGTGAGAAAAAACAACTACCTACTTCCCTAACCTACATATGAGGAAAATGAAGTGTGATCAGTCTTCAGACATTTACATTTATCTAGACCTATCTTTCCATTTAACTGGTTCAGAAGTACAAAAGTATAAAAAGAAGTTAAGAAAATGTACGAATACGACATTGAAATTAAATATTGCACTGAAAGGGCAAGCCATTTATGCCCATTACCTTATATTTCTTTCAACATCAAATGCAGAGTCCCTGCCATAAACACGTGTCAAAAAAAAAAAACTTTCAAAAGCACAAATTACAGCATTTCCTACTAGTCCATAACCACTTCCATTGTCATTATTCCTCCTCCTCTTCCTCCTCCTCTGCATCCTCAAAATCATCATCATCAACCACTCCAAAGTCCATTTTTGCCAGGACTGCTTCAACATGCTCTGTCGACAAAGTGAAGTGGTCCATCTTCTCGAAGCCGGGCTCTGGCCTCTCTTCCCCCAGTGAGCATTTAGCTGCATCTTTGGTCTGGGTGATAAGGCCCTTGGAGGCTACCAGAAACTCGGCAGCGCTACCCTGCTCCAGTGCCCTCACAGCTGTATCTGTGAGCTCTGTGCTAGCCTGCAGTCGTTCCCCATAACGCTGAGCCAGAGCCCGCAAAGCTGCCACCTTTTCATCTTGCTCTTTACCAATCTGCTCTAGTAGAATGGTCTTGCGCTCTTCCAGTACAGCATATAACAGGTCAAAGCGTTCAGCTAGCCCTTGCTTAGCATGCTGAGCATTCTCTTGCACAGCACGGCAGGCATCTTCCATCTGGTTGAGCAGGGCCTGAAGGCGTCCATTGCTGGCCACCAGGGTATCAATAGCATTACTCAGTTCACCCTTCTGGGCCTGGTAAACACTTGCTAAAGGTGCCACCTCACAGTCCTTATGCTGGCCAAACACTTTGCACATGGAGCAGGTGGGTACCTGACAGGTCACGCAATAGATGTTGATTTTCTCATCCTCATGTTCTTGGCACATCGGTTCTTTGGATTCTTTAGGCTTCAGGGTGGTTTCTGTGTTTCCACTGCCACTGCCTTCTTGCTGCTGCTTATAGATGTCAATAATATTTTCTACCAACAGGTTACGCTGGAGCCCATGCACACCATGGCGGTCAAGCACAACCTCAAACCGGCAGGTAGGACAGCGAAAGACCCCACCAGAAAAGCGGTATGGGTTGCGCGAGTCGTAGAGGTCGCTGGCACAACTACGGCACAAGTTGTGCTGGCAGGGCAGGATGACCACAGGCTTGGTGAACATGTCTAGGCAGATGGGGCAGCTCAGCTGCTTCTCGAGGCTATCCATGGGGCTCGGGGGCCGAACCATAGATCCTGTCCTCTGGACGTCCATAATGGAAAAGTTCAGCTTACAGCTACACAAACTAAGAGCTTCACTTGCTCTCTGTTGGTTTCAAAATGTAACTAAAATAAAGGCTCTATGATCTTATCCTTAGTGTGCACTGTCACTTGTGAAATGCCGATATCTATTCTGGTTGAGAGCTAGCAGCTCTGTCCTTTATACCAGCCCCTCACAGCTGATGACATCCGATCCTTTCCACCATCCAGAGCACACATTCCTGCCTGCTTGCTGCCTTCGGATCTTTTCACAGAAATGCCCCCCCTCCTACCCAGAGCATGTGTCACATGTCCCAGTGGGCACTGTGTCCCCTCTAACAGTGACAGAAGTGGCAGAATGGGCAGAGACCAGGGTCCATGTGACTGGCTCAGAGGAGCTCCGTCTGAGAGAGGGAGCTCAATCTAAATGGTAAACAAGTCCGTGTCAACATCCCGTGTCTCAGTTGTTTTGACTAGTTTATCTCTTTTGATTTGTTGTCATATACGTAGTTTGCTATGTCCTGTTTTGTTTACTACAGAAAAATACTGTAACTTTTACACCAACTGTAACTTTTTATCTTTTAGATTTTTCTTCATATACTTTTGACATTAATGTCTACATTGAAATCAACAAACTACATTAAATGGCAATGTTGATGATTATTTTCTGTTTCACAGAATCACTGATTACATTAAGTCTTTCTATACCGACCGTTTCCTTGTAAATGCTTTTCAAATATGAAGATTTAATTGTTTTTCTTTGTGAAAAACTAAGTCATCACTTGGGCTCTAGCCATTTGTGATGCCCACTTTGTGTTATTTTTCTAATTTAGAGCCTTGTGTTTATGGCAAGTACAGTGGTTATTTAGATGAAAATGTTATTTTAGCAACAATGGAAAGATGGTTGTCTTAACTTAGTCAATTGAAAGTGTAACACACAGAATGTACCAATTCATTTTGTAAAAATGTCTAACTTCTTCATGGGTATCTAAAGAAATGATTCATAATTTAAAACAGCTTTATTTAAACCTTTTTAAAACAGTAAAATGCGAGCATTTAGATTCAAACACGGAATTTTCCACGTTGATTCTAATCAATAGTTGACCAAGTGTTTTATGACATACTGTATGTCAGCATCCTTGGCAGATGAACACAAAGTACCGTAAACATGAGGGAGAAGCTATTCTTAAAGTCTTGCACAACAGAACCATCACATGATGCAGATGCGTATGTACAGGCTGTGGAAACAAATTTCAGTAAAGTAACAGTAAAATGTCGGTCTGTTTCCCAACAATTGTCAGCTTGATGGCAATAATTTCAAATGGGACATTTCTCAAAATTATGCATATGTTGCTAGAAGGTGATGTTTGAAATCAAGACAACAGAAATATTTACAGTAGTTACATTATGAGTATCCGTTGAAGTATGTGAGCATGTAAACAATATCTTATTCAGAGTGTTGTCTTGTAACTACTTGAACCAGCCTTCAGGAAACTGATATGTCACACTTCTGGAAATGTTATAAAGAGTAAAAATCCCCAACTTGTTATTTCCCCTGGGTTGCATCATAGCCAAAACTGTGTTCAGCTGGTGCCCCCTGCTGATTGTTATTCTACATCAAGCAGATGAGATGTAAATATTTTATTCACTTCAATGAGAGAGCTAAATGTGTAAAGCATATAAAAATAATTTAGAAGTGTTTTTATAATCTAAAAAGCTGTGAAAGGTCACATAAGACATGTTTTTTAAACTGTTGCTGTTGTTACCTCGCAGGGCCTCCATGACCGGAAGGATATTCTCTGACCACTGGAAAGCTGCGATGGCTGTGTAGATCCCTGGAAAGTCTCGCTGCCAAATGCGTTGGCCAACAGCCCAAATAGCTGTTAATTCAGGGTTTGCCTGCATACAACAAGCAGACAAGCAATTCAAAAACATTCAGCATGCTACAAGGCATTGGTTTTCATGCTACTATAAAGAGCAGTCACACCCAAATACTTAGGATACTAAATCACAGTGGTTACATTTTATAACTGTTCTGTCCATTTAAAACATCAAACTGTATAGTTTTTATGCAAGATGAGGCATGTTTTTTCTAATACAACCGGATAACGTCAACATCTGACAAGGAGTTCTGAGCTGACTGGCAACAATATTATTGCATTTCTTATTGTACAGTTGACAGTCATAAGCAAAACAAAAGCAGCTCTGGTTACCTGTCAGGAGACAGCGATGCTAAATGTTCCCATTTGTAACTAACAGCGAGTTAATTAACATACAACGGAGATATGTTCTATAAAGAGCAGAGTTGGTCATGGAGAGGAGTGAATTAAACACGTAAACAAGTATTACATTTTCTGTGTTCAACTTGACTAACAAACTTCAGCTGATGTCAGATGTCCACATTTCTTTGCTTTTCAGACACTTTATTTACTGTCAAGTGAGGTATTTCAGAGTAAAAAAAGCACATGGTTCTGTAATTACTAATTGGTATTTACAATTGGAAATTGGCAAATATGGTAATGCTTTCCATATAAAGCAGCACAAGCTGAACCATCACATGTATCACACTGTGTACATGTATGCATGTATGTGTACCTATATATCATATCCACCTTCAACATGTACATAATGAGAATAGTTTACTCCTGCATCCTTTGCACTCTGATTACTGCATTTGTCAATATGTCTATATTGTTTTGTTCATAGCGTGTATATTAGTGTTGTCTATTCTGTAGTTTGTGTCTGATTTTATTTTATTATTATATTATTATTTTATTATTGTATAAGTAAGCACATCGTGAGCAATGTACAATCCTGAGTCAAATTCCTCGTATGTGTGAACATACCTGGCAATAAAACTGATTCTGATGTATACTGAAATAGGTTTCAGTAGTACTTCTTAGCGTGTCTACATGTTTTAACATGCTTACCGATTTTATTGCTTGGGGAGTCCGTTTCCACAGATACCTGGCATTATTCCTGTTGGACCAACATCACCAAGTTAAACAACACACAGGATAAAGTTGCAGGTGCAAGCAGCAATAGAACACAGGGTTAGCAGTGATATAACTGAACAGCCTTCAGGTAGCTACAGGGCACCCACTCAGGTTATTATTTTTTCAGCAGCTCCAGAAAGCCCTGCCAGAGACAGAGAGAACCCCCTGTCAGCCAGTGAGGACAGACACAGGTGACTTACATGTCATTATGAAGTAAATAGAGCGAGAGCAACTGAGCGTAGACTTGAGGTGTTGCAATGCCCCCTGGAGCCTGTAAAACATAAATGCAGTTAAAGACTGAAGCTAACAATATGTAAAAAAACAAGCTATTGTGACTTCCACAAACAATCCATGCTGTATATCTCGAAGTATATTCGCTAATAGACATTAGCTAACTAATGTACCGTTAGCAGCGACTGCCTCCGACAGCCAGAACTAAGTAAGCCGTCCAGTCAGCTGTGTTATTATTTTCCTTATCTTCTACTAACGTTATAGCATTGGTCACTTACCTCACAACGTCTATATTTATGAATGTGCATGGTCTCTCCTAAGGTGTCCATGCGCCACCCAGAAAACATTATGACTCACGTTATGAGAGTCTAAACAATACTGAGTATTAGCTGTAGCGATGTTTACCAACATAACGAGGAGATCTGTGGCTATCAAAGTTAGCTAACTGGCTACTAGTAGTGCTAAAAGTAAAACCAGGGAGTAACGCTAAACCTGCCACTTCAGTTTTAATGAAGACAGATTGTGTTGGCATTGCTTGCACTTATACATGTACACCTCGCAGCGTGAGTTAAAAGTAAAATTAGAGAGACATTAGTGGAAACACACGTTAGCTTCTTAGCCATAACGTTAGCCTAAACCGGTCATGAGCTAACTGTCAGAAACACCACTACCAAGCCTTTAGAGGCAGAAAGCATATAAAACAACATTTATTGTTGGCAGAAAAAAATACGGAATATCACGAGTCAGTACTTTACTTACCTCGAGCTCTTGAGCTTCACACTGCTCTAATAATTTATCATAATTTTCCTCCATAATCACAGCAGTAGGCATGGTGATGCCTAGCTGTTGCATCGGAAACTTCTTCCTCTGTATAATAGCAGTAGATTAGCAGCACGTCAGGGGTGTTGCTGCCCTCCACTGGATGAAGCACATACGACAGGATCTAGAAAGAAATGGAAGAAATAAGATTATTTATACCGCAAGTGGAAAAGTCCATGTTTTTTTTGTTTTTTTAAAAAACTCAGTTGTTGTTATTATTAATATTATTATTATTATGCGCACACACAGGTCCAACATACAAACACATGCACAAACAGGACCTATAGATATGCTAAAACAGATGGAGAGATGTCAGAGTGAGGGGGCTGCCAGGTAGTCAGGCTTCCTGAGTGGTTAGAGGTTCCTTGCTCAAGGGCATCTTTGGCAGTGGTGAACTGGTACCTCCCCAGGTACTCGTCCACATTGAATAGGCTGTATCTGCTCCAAGCTGGACTCGAACCGGCGGTGATGTTACACATCACCTCTGACAGAAAGAAAGAAAGAAAGAAGAACAAATCCACCAAGAAATATTTTGATATTTTTTCCTGAAAAAGTACTTTTTGTCAATTTTCATTCCTGCCCTCACCTATGGTCATGAAGGCTGGGTCATGACAGAAAGAACTACATCACGGGTACAAATGGCCAAAATGCGTTTCTTAGGAGGATGGCTGGCGTCTCCTTTAGTGAGAAGCCAAGTCATACGTGAAGAACTCAGAGTAGAGCTGCTGCTCCTTTCGTTGAAAGGAGCCGGTTGAGATGTCTCGGGCATCAGGTAAGGATGCCTCCTGGGCGCCTCCCTAGGGAGGTGTTACAGGCATGTCCAGCTGGAAGGAGGGCATGGGAAGACCCAAGACTAGGTGGAGATTATGCAGTATCTCCACACTGGCCTGGGAACGCCTCTCCCAGTCAGAGCTGGTTAATGTGGCTCGGGAAAGGAAGGTTTGGGGTGCCCTGCTGGAGCTGCTGCCCCTGAGACACAACCCCAGATAAGCGGGTGAAGATGGATGGATGGAAGTACATTTTGTGTGATGTCTAAGTATACTTAGTAAACAGACATGAAACTACTACAATAAATGCCATGTGTGCTCCTACCCACTGACCTGCCTACAAATGAATTGAGGGTTTTGTTTTGTTTTATGGTTACTACCTCTTTGTTCTTGATTCAGTTATCTCACTAAGAGATAGAAATCTCAAAGCCAAAGATTAAACCATGGCCCAGTGAGTATAGAGAATAAAATCCAGGAGAGAAAAGTTATTGGATAAAACATGTGCAATCTCAATTCATCTTTCTTTCTGTTCCAAGGCTTTAGGTTGTCACCGGCATTAAGGGCATGATTTTCCTAAATGTCTTTCAAAACTTTGTGGTTTGCTACAGTCTCACTTCAAACGTCTCTTCCAAATGATGTTACACCTACTGTTTGAAACTTATTTTAAATTCACATCTCTTTTATGATGCTTCAGATTAAAGACCTGTTTCCTCCAGGTAACAACTACAATATTTGTTTTGTGGAGCTTTTGCATTCATTCAGTTATTCTTAACCTTCATAATCTAGTTTTAATGTCCAATTGCAACAATATAAAGATGTTGCAGTAATTCCAGAGGTGGAATGCAACTAATGTAATGTAAGTGCATTTACACTTCTACTCCACTACATCTCAGAGGCAAATATTGTACTCCACCACATTTGTCTGAAATCTATACTAGTTACTTCTCAGATTATATTTTATACCCTTCCTGTCCAGTGAAAACCATGTATTAATGTATGTATGGATTAGCTGGAAAGTGAATCGTCACACAGCTGAAAACTGAGCTCATGAAACTGACTTTCTAGAGATACGTGGTTCTCAGAGGACTGCATCACTACAAACAATGCTGTGATATTAGTTGACAAAACTATCTCACCACAAGGTTTATTCAGTGAAACCTTTGGAACTTTGAGTCATATCACATGATCTTTACCCACAAATGGAATAAACAAACAAATGTCAGTTTAATTTCAGTATTCTATTACACTATGTCAGGGTGTCCTTTACTGAACAGCTAATTCAAGCACAAACATTTCAGTAGTCTATTATTTACTTTCTGTACCTGAAAAGGAGTCAATCCACATGAGAAAAAACTTACTGTTGGCTACTGCCTGGCTTTTGCTACGACAAAAACAAGTACTGAAGCTTTGGCGCATCTTTCAAAAACTCCTTAATAAACTGCAAAATCTGGACATTCAGAAGAATCTCAGGTTGCCAGATTCAGGTTTTGAGGCATCTTTGGAACATAGTAGTCTTGTGAATCCAAGATTGTGTGATAAGTCCTTTTGTGAGATTTGAAAATAATGCATGTGATCAGGCATGATTTCAATGACTTTAACATTTGCATAAACGCTGGCACACCATGCACACACATGTTCTTTATGAGAGGAGTGGATTACATTGTAAGTGGAACTGCAGCGCTATAGTGCATAATTATGCAGTTACTAAAGTCACCACTTGCAAGCAGCATTGCTCAGTTTTACAAATTAACAGGGTTTTAAAAAGGCACTGCAGTTCTTGTGTGTCAGAGCATTGATTTGTAATACTTTTTGTTTGCAGGTAAAGGTACAATATACTGTTTCTGATCTGCTGCCACATTAAGAACCATCCAGACCACTCCCAGTCTAAGACAGATCTGCTTACTGTCCCCAGCGTTGCCACTTTTGCCATGGTTTGGGGGTTTTGGTTCCACGTCTTGTGTTTCTACTGTCCAGCCTTGTTTATTCTTGTGTAGATTTTATGTTTGGTCAACTTCTGTTTTCACACTGCTCATCCCCTGTCCTCATGTCTTAGTTCATGTCTTAGATACTTTTACTAGTTTGTTGTTTTCCGTGTATTATATGTTCTGTTTCATTCATCCTGGTCCGTTGCCATTTGTTCTAGTTTTAGTACACTTATCAGTCTGTTTTGTCTATGTCCTCATCTGTTTATGCATTTCGGCCTTTGTATGTTCAAGTTTTCGTCTCCCGTCATGTAACAGTTTGTCTGTGTGTGCCGTCTGTTTACCCCATGTGTCTGTGTCTTGCCTTGTTTCCTGTTTCAGTTTGAAGATGTCTGTGTTTGCTGTCTGTGTCTAGTTTTGTTTCCTGTTCTGTTTTTACCTTGATGATTTGCCTTAGTATTTAATGCCTGTGTTCTGTTCGTTCTTTCTACATTGGTTCATTGTTGCTTGTTGTGCTGTCTAGTCTGTTCCTGCCTTGCCAAACCTTTGTCTCATACTTGAATTAAACAATCCGTCTATGACAAACCCAGACAATTGTTGCTTTGGTCACATCCTTAATAATTTAAGTTTCTTGAGACCAGAATCCCTGTAGTGACAGACTAATGGAGAGGATCAGAGGAATGCAAAGTAGTGGTGTAACAGTTTAAAAGTCCTTAAAGAGAATCCCGCCGACACATGAAGAAATCAAATATTACCACAAGAAAAATACTAGAACATCTTTCCTCTCTAAAGAGTGGATTCTAAAACGGCAAACTAGTCATGACCAGGTTGTCAGACTATTTCTACAATGGAGGCTTAATCACAATTTTATAAAGAGCCATTTCAGTCAGGTTTACTTTCATGTTCTTCACAGATGTGTTGATACCTGTTTGTAAAGTAGAGTTAGAGATGACAGAATAAAGTCAGTTGTAAATAATAATAATTAAATACAATAGTTCTAATATACAGTTTTTTCTTGGCTTCTCTGCTTAAAATGTATCTCAGTGTTTTGCTTTGTGAACCAACCTCTGCAGTATCAGTGGAATTCATAATGACTAGTGTGTTCCTTATTCTTCATATAAAATGCTTTCAGTTGCTGTTCACTTTGTGTACATCTCTGTGTGTGTTTCAGAGATGGTTAATTGGAACAACGAACCAAATGTTGAAATGTAGAGAGCAGTTCACAAAAACAGACTTTCAGGGAGTGGTGAGGGAAAATGCTGCCTAATTTAAAGTCTCTAATAGCCTAACATAGAAAAGAAGACAAAGTGAAGTAGTTATTACGGGCAATATGGAATGATTTTATTTCACCTTGAAAACTGTTATGCTTTACTTTACAGCTTTGATCTTTGAATCGTAAATAGCTTTCAGTGACACTGAATGCATGCCTGAGTTTACAGAAGAGAAGATGTGCTGAGAGCCATTGCTGGTTTGCTTCACTTTTACTTAACTGGCAAATAAAGTAAACTGAGGTGTTACCTTTTTCCACATAACATAGTATTGTTTCATCTTTCACTCAATTAAGTAAAAATAGCAGTAACACAGTGCAGAATAAAAGCACTAAAGTATTAGCATCAAAAGTGACTTAAAGTGTAAAACATCAAAATACTCATCATGCAGAATGCCCCGTTTCAGTCCTGTTTGTACTGAGTGTTGTAACAGACACAAAAATGTTAAACCAAGTGATGACATAAGCATACCCTTACAGTAGTGACAAGATGCTTGAACTCCTACACTTGGGGAAGCAACCTTTGGCCAACACAAAGGATGCAATCCACCACAATCCCCCATGAGTTCCATCGCCTCAAATTGATGAATTGTATTGGAGTAGAAGCAGAAATTATAAAAAAAAATGGAAATACCATATGCTCTAAATTGTATTCAAGTACAGTACTTAAGTAAATGTACTTCCACTACTGTTTATGTGGTAGGGTAAGGTTGTGGAAGGTTTTGATATGTCAGAGTTATTTCTGTTGATGGTCTTCAGCATACAAACACAGTCACAGATGCTAACAAGTCCACGATCCTGTAGCAATGTTTCATGGAAATTGCCTTATGAAAGCTAATTAGTAGATAGTTTTAACTTGAAGTATTCAGTATTGTTCAATTCAGGATGCTCAAACATACAATATACAAAGATTGATACATAGAAGATTCTATTTCTCTGTTCTTGTGACCATTTATAATGACAATATGTTTTATTGAATAAAGAACCGCAGCACATTTTTGTAATTGCTCCCCATATTTTTCTTGGCCCAACCCATTCATTTCAAATGAACAGAATACTGATTCTAAATTGAGCCAGAACACAACAAAAACACTTTCCCAGGTAATCCATCTATCTTTACTTAAACTAGACATAGCCTCCTTTTCACCCTTTTTTACTTTCCCCCCACAGTCTAGTGTGATCATTCACTTGCATCCATTGACTTTTCAACCAAATACTGGGGAAGCTTAGATTTGGACTCCATGTTAACAGATATTATTGATTCATCGAATTGCGTTGGGTATAATTCCGCTCTTTTTAACTCATTCAACTGTAACATTGCACGGCTGAATAAATCATTCACCCTGACTGCTTTTCCCAGCCGAGGAGAAACCTGCTCTCTCTCTAAAACAAAGTGAGACATTTGTTTGTGTAAAATCAGTTCCAGCAGTGTGTTGTCACTTTGCATCCAGCATTGAGGTCATCTCAATTGTATTTGTTACAAGGTGGGAGAGTCGTGCCGCACATGGCCACGCACCTCTGAATTTGTGTGACCAGGCACCCACTGTGCACGCTGAGCTTTGTATTTCACCATTCACAATGAGGACAGTAGTTGCAGACGTGTTGGCTCTAAGAAACCCGAAGCATAAAACCGAGTTTAAGCTAAAAATACACCAGGTGAGTGGTGTTCCCGAACAATCTTAAATAAAAGACAGCTGCTCTTTTTTATATACACTGCTCAAAAAAAGAAAGGGAACACTTAAACGACACAATGTAACTCCAAGTCAATCACACTCCTGTGAAATCAAACTGTCCACTTAGGAAGCAACACTGATTGACAATCAATTTCACATGCTGTTGTGCAAATGGAATAGACAACAGGTGGAAATTATAGGCAATTAACAAGACACCCCCAATAAAGGAGTGGTTCTGCAGGTGGTGACCACAGACCACTTCTCAGTTCCTATGCTTCCTGGCTGATGTTTTGGTCACTTTTGAATGCTGGCGGTGCTTTCACTCTAGTGGTAGCATGAGACGGAGTCTACAACCCACACAAGTGGCTCAGGTAGTGCAGATCATCCAGGATGGCACATCAATGCGAGCTGTGGCAAGAAGGTTTGCTGTGTCTGTCAGCGTAGTGTCCAGAGCACGGAGGCGCTACCAGGAGACAGGCCAGAACATCAGGAGACGTGGAGGAGGCCGTAGGAGGGCAACAACCCAGCAGCAGGACCGCTACCTCCGCCTTTGTGCAAGAAGGAGCAGGAGGAGCACTGCCAGAGCCCTGCAAAATGACCTCCAGCAGGCCACAAATGTGCATGTGTCTGCTCAAACGGTCAGAAACAGACTCCATGAGGGTGGTATGAGGGCCCGACATCCACAGGTGGGGGTTGTGCTTACAGCCCAACACCGTGCAGGACGTTTGGCATTTGCCAGAGAACACCAAGATTGGCAAATTCGCCACTGGCGCCCTGTGCTCTTCACAGATGAAAGCAGGTTCACACTGAGCACATGTGACAGACGTGACAGAGTCTGGAGACGCCGTGGAGAACGTTCTGCTGCCTGCAACATCCTCCAGCATGACCGGTTTGACGGTGGGTCAGTAATGGTGTGGGGTGGCATTTCTTTGGGGTGCCGCACAGCCCTCCATGTGCTCACCAGAGGTAGCCTGACTGCCATTAGGTACCGAGATGAGATCCTCAGACCCCTTGTGAGACCATATGCTGGTGCGTTTGGCCCTGGGTTCCTCCTAATGCAAGACAATGCCAGACCTCATGTGGCTGGAGTGTGTCAGCAGTTCCTGCAAGAGGAAGGCATTGATGCTATGGACCGGCCCGCCGGTTCCCCAGACCTGAATCCAATTGAGCACATCTGGGACATCATGTCTCGTTCCATCCACCAACGCCACGTTGCACCACAGATGCTTCAGTCCAGGTCTGGGAGGAGATCCCTCAGGAGACCGTCCGCCACCTCATCAGGAGCATGCCCAGGCGTTGTAGGGAGGTCATACAGGCACGTGGAGGCCACACACACTACTGAGCCTCATTTTGACTTGTTTTAAGGACATTACATCAAAGTTGGATCGGCCTGTAGTTTGGTTTTCCACTTTGATTTTGAGTGTGACTCCAAATCCAGACCTCCATGGGTTGATAAATTTGATTTCCATTGATCATTTTTGTGTGATTTTGTTGTCGGCACATTCAACTATGTAAAGAAAGGAGTATTTAATGAGATTATTTCATTCATTCAGATCTAGGATGTGTTATTTTAGTGTTCCCTTTATTTTTTTGAGCAGTGTATTTTGTTTAATATTAGATTTATATGTGTGTCAACAATATTCAAAATTATGCAAAAAGTATTTTTTATTCACAATGTTTGGGTCTGTAGCTTATCTCTGCACATTGCACATATTATTTATTCAGTCAACATTTGCAAAGTCATTTTTTTCAAACACTTTACAGCTCTTGATGCGATGCAGCATCTCATCAAAACAGGATGAGGACATACAGAAGTAAATTAAGTGCATTCTTTGTCTATAAAAGTGGCTATATAGAACATCTACTCTTTTGCTTTTTAATAGCCATAAACAGATCAGTTCTTCCTCAGCATTGATGAGCTGTAGGACAGGGTGGATGTCCTTCTGGTAACACTATTTGGCTTCTTGCTTATTCACTGAATGTATTGTTTGTATGCCCCCTGGTGTTTTGGAGAATACTGCATCAAACAACATGTTGAACATAAAATGCCTTTGTGTGCGGACTGCAAGACACACTTATTCTTGGCAACAAGACTACAGAATCCCTCTTTATTGGCATTGCCACATCCTCTACCATGCCCCTCCTCACACAGGGACGCTCAGTGATTCACCAAGATAGCCCCCAAATAAGCAGTCGAGGAAATAACCTGAGTTCCAGGAAATAACATTTTGTTGGTGAAACACTCCATTCTGCACAATGTGCCAATATAAAAATCTATCCTGCTGTTGAATTGTTCAATATGCAACCAAGACCATGAACTTTGTCTAACTTTAACTAAGTACTGTGTGCCTAAATTTCTTCTCCTTTTTTCAAATTATTCTGTATTGGTATGTCATATTGCTATGAGTGGACATCCTCCAAAGTAGACCATCATCTTATCTGTGCTCCTTTATTTTTTAAATATTAACCATTTTTCCACCAAACTGGGTCATTTTTTTGGTAAATATTTAATTGTAAATAATTTGTCAGGGCTTCATCTGCAGGAAACGTGGAATCGCTGACTGTAGGTCAGCCCAAAGTCATTCAAATCAGTGAATCAGTTTTTTAACTAATACGTTCACAGCCCACAGCGCTTAAGCCAAACAAACAGAAAAAACTATGCTGCTTTGTTTTGGTGTTTACAGGCGCTGCTTCTGTCCTCTCTGATATTAATTCAATTTGTAATATTTTCCTATTGAATTGTTGAAATTTTATTCACCACCACATGATTACACTCTTTCAGATGACAAAATGTGCTTAAATTGTAAAACACATGTCTTGTTGCCCAATATCTAAATGTAGCATAACTGTAGCAAGCTCCATCAGGAGGCAGAACATTAGCAATAAAAATGGCTTAAAGCAGCGGTTCATATAGCGGTGTGTGAGTAGCCATTTCCTGTGAGCTAACTCTTAATAATAAAAATAAAAATAAAAATGTTTTTAATTAAATTAAATTAAATAAATAATTAAATTTAAGTAATTTTAAGTAAACTTTTCTATTCAGATTTTAATTTCATGAAAAGTTGCACACAAAATAATTATAATATATAATAATAAATGGTTATTACACTACTACACCACCATTACATTTTTCCTGCGGCGCACCCCCTAGAGGCAGCTCGCACACCCCCACACTTTGGGAATCGCTGTCTTAGAGGAACGGAAGAGGTGACGAGCCTAAACAACGCAAAAATGTGTGCGCTAGACCACGACACCATATCTCTGTTACATGCCTGCTCCAACACACTAGTAGTTTTGGGGGGATGCTGTTCACTTCTTTATTATTATTCACCAAGGTTATTAATATACATTTTCAGTCTAACAGATGTTATTGAGGCGAGCAGTGTGTTAAACTGAACAATTTAATCTTGATTTTACAATATCTACCGCGGAGCTATTTGAATAAACATCCTTACAAAAGGTTACAGCGCGTCTGGATGCAGCTTCTAAACAGTAACATAGGATGACCTAATTATCATGGAAAAACATTTCCTTTATGAGGAAAAAGGTATCATTGCCTTGGTTATTCAGTAGACATTCTCAATTCAGTGCAGTGAAAAAATGCAAAGTTCAATATGTCAAGATGAAAAAAAACAATTATTTTAAATTAAACAATCCTCAAGTTGCTATTTTTAGTCCTGGTCACCTTTTCGATTTTAAGGTGCGTCTTCTCCTAGTTTCCTCTGGACGTCTTACTCCTTCTCACCTAGTCCCCAAAACTGGTATTATGCTTCACCAAAAAACTCTGTCTGTCTCTGTGAATCTAAGCAGAAAATGTTGTTATGGGTAAAGTCACAGAGGCTTGCAGAGGAGCTGACGGGCAAACCTCCCAAATCACAACAGCACATTGTGTGGACCAGCATGACAAGCAAGTTGAGTTGGGCAGCAAACTTTCGCCAACACAAAGGATGCAATCCGCCATAATCCCCCGTGAGTTCCATCGCCTCATCCTACTTCGCCAGGACTCTTCTCAACTGCTCAGCTGCAAAGACCAAATATTGGTGAAGTCATTTAAGAGTAACTTGAAAATGTTGTTTTTGCTGACCTCTAATGGTTTCATGTCTCACCTTGCAGCAGGGCTGTGTACTTTAGGATGTGTGAGTACATTGTGACATAACTACTGAGTGTGGTTACCTTTTAATATACAGTCTATGGTGGTTACAAGTGCACTTCCAAACCACACCCAAAAACAAACATCTGTCATGCTGTGTGTTTAGAGGTGAATCTGACCTTCAGCCAGAAAGGGTAGTGATAACTCTTTAGGTAATATTTAAGGGGTAGAAAAGTTTTTTTTTTTCCTTAATGCTTACTGCTCAATAACTGGTGGTTTTCCCTGGGCTTGCGGTGAATTACATCCAACATGAAGCACTTCAGCACAGCAACATCATATTTCATCTTGGCACAGTCCCAAACCCCTTTGATCCTCCAGTTTGTTATGTTCTCCCGCCAAGAACAGTGTAGTTCATCACCATTCATCTTCTTTCTAAGGGGGAAAAATCACAGATGGTAGGTGGGTGCATGTCAACACATTTCTGATATTCCCATAGGGGATGAAACCATGCAATATTTATGATTTTACTGTGTGCGATTCAAAATGAAATGTTTGATCTGTATGTAATTCCCCCTTGAACTGCTCCTTGAACTTCTTCAGTTGTTTAATGTATGTGTTTAGGCAAACACACTCCAAACACACGCAAACATCTGAATAATTCCTTCTTAATTACTTCACAATTCAGTTATATTAACTTACTCCACAGTAAATTTCTGTTTGGAGGATCTTTAGTAGAATTTGCTCAAATGAGGACAGATTTCTTTAAGCATGTGTGCCTGTTTTAATGCCCTGTATGCTGATAAACTGGCATATCAGGTATTTTCCCAGTGTGGATGTTCTTTAAGACCAATATAATTTTCATTTAAAATTTTAATGCATATACTGTAAAACTATGTTTTTGTTATTGAGACTGGCCCATAAAGCAGAGACAGTGGCACATTGGTTTATTTTCTATAATTAAATGATTAATTTTCCCAGAAAAGTCTCCAGTGTTCTGACAGTTTTTGCTATCCACTAACCTGATGAACTAAGCCTCTTTCTCCTAATGACCTAATTGAGCAAAAAACATTGTAAAGTAGCTCCTGAGCTCAGATATGTGTGACAAGCAGACATACAGTGCAACCCCTAAAAATGGGATTTAAAATAGAGTTTCTCATTCTGTCGATGTATGAATTATCTATTAGAATATACTACTACCTCTAGAAATGCAGTTAAGGTAGATTATCTCCTTCTGTCATGTACAAAATATCTATCAGAAAGAAGTACTAGCCGTATAAATGTGAAACATATGGTAGCTCATTCTATTATGAAAGAAATTTCTATCAGAACAGACTACTATAAATTATAAGTACAAGTACAGTAGGTCATAATGAGCACCCCACATGCGTGCACACACACACACACACACACACACACACACACACACACACACACACACATCCTTAATTGTTCCTTAATTTCAATTTCCTTTCATTTCAAGCAAATGTAATTTTTATTTCCATTTGCATGGACAGATTTCATGATGTGCCCATCAGAGACAAATGTCACGCTACACCTAAAGCAGGCATATGAGGAGAATTAAAGTGATTTAAATAAAAAATTTATATGAATTATATTTTTTTTCATTATAAAAGTACGTCACAGCAACAATCAAAAAGTTTCTCACCGCCTCGTACCGATCTTGGGGGCCAATCTGCTGGGTCATTTGGTGGAGCAGCAATTGTTCCATTAGGGTCTGAGCTGCTTATATCTGATGCTGGCCTACATCTCTGGCTGTGCTGGTACTGGCTGAGGCTAGATGTGGATCAGCTGTGCTTGTACTGGCTGATGATCCAGCATCTCTAATGACAAACTTAAGCATAGCCCTTGTAAATTATATATATTTTCTATATATTAATGTTATCAGCTGCATCAGCACCATTCAAACTGGCTCCTCCAGGTTTTCTTCAATACATTTTCAAATATAAAATACTATTTATAAAATGGCTTGGCTGTATATGTGATTATTATTTACTGAGATGTGCATCATTATTGCCCAGTCTGTCCAGCTAAACAACATTTTAATGTGAATTCCTTACTGCCCATCTTGCATTAGTCTAAAGTTGTAACTGAACCTGAACTGAGAGACAGATAATCACTGTCTTGATTTCAAATGATGTATAAGGAGTGCCCTCACATCTGTGTCTGGACTGGTCTGCACAGATGTTTTTTGCTGGAATGTGCGAGTTTCATTTCATGGACACGCATATGCATGGTGGCCCTGAAGTGCAAACCACAAAAGCAATTCGCACAACACTACAGGAAATCACCACAACACTACAGGAAATCAGCACAATACGACCGCAATTTGCCACAACACCACAGCAAATTTCCTGCAGTGTTGTGGTGTGGTTGCAGGAGCACTCCGATGTTCAAATGTTGTATGGTAGTTCATGTTCACAGCACACCAAACCTATCTCTATAGCCTCTTGATTCCCTGATTAAGAATACCGTTTTGAAACTTGATAGACTGCGATAGGAAAACAGAAATGACAATAGAAATGCACATTACATTATTTAGAAAGTCTATTTTTCACTTACTACATTACTCAATTCAAAATTACTTTAAGTAGTATTAATAAACCTGGACCTCGTTGGGATGCTTAATCATGAACATTCTCCCCTCTATCACTGCGGACCCTTGATGGAATTCCAAACAAATGGACAGCTCCAGAAGGGCTGTGTAAACAATGCAGTGAGGTACATAATTATTTTGGCGTACCCGTATTTATGTCTAATAACCTATTTTCTTATGAAAGACTAGAACCGAAACAACTTACGTTTTCTGTCATTGTGCCATAGAGACATGGGTGCTGGCAGTGGGTATAATCTTCTTGAGATAATCAGAAATACTTTTTAATGTTAATTCTCTCTCCTCTAATTCTTCTGCGTCAGAGGTATCTGAAGGTATATATAAATCACTGAGTAAAAAGGAGACCAAATACCCAAATAATGACATTGTAAGTACCTTATTTAACATAGTGGTATGTGGAAAATAGCTGGATGTTTCTTCAGTATGGCACCATATGCTATGCTGATTACAATGGGTGGATGGATAACTTTTATTTTGAATTATCAGTGCACTAAACAAAAAAACTGTACATCCTGTGTTTATTCTTTGAAAGAAGTTTACTTTTTGTTATGTTTTGTCCACCTTTGATTTAAGCTTCATAGAAATATCTACTAAAAACCAAACAGACACAGGTGACAAAGAGAAAAAGAGAGGAGTGCAACAAATCCCAAACCAGATGACGACAGATCACCCAGCTGATAATAAATTATTCATATTGTTATTGAATATTTATGAAATTAATGGAAAATGACTTGGCACTTGGATTCACCAACTATTGATGCTAATGCTCTGCGTGTGTATATTTTGTTGTTCTAGCCACCAGAAGATGATAGGGAGGTATTTCAAATTTACCCACACTTCATCATTCTTCACCTGCATCAAGCTTAGATACACCATCCTCTAGCGGACTGGTCACTGGGAGAGAAAGGCCTGACGAGCGTTGGCCTGCCGTTAATTGTCTGACCATTGGTTGCAGAGATAACGTAGCAAGTTTTTTTTATATAATAACAAGCAGGAGAATCCACCCATCAGGCAAGTCTCAAGGCCTAGCTTGGGGTCCGCAGGGTCGCACTGCATTCCTTATGTGAACAGAAAAGATTGGTGTATTTTAAGGTATTTTTGCGGGTGCACCCAAAGCCCTAGCATATCTTGAAACCTCAGTGTGCAGTCCCAAATGATTCTATTTTGTAATGTGGATAACTTTCTTCCCAGATAAACATGGTGGCCAAATCTATACCTAGTTTGGCACCCGTTACATCAACAATTAGAGTTAGTCTACAAAATTGGCAGTCTGGTAGTTTTGGTATTGTGCCAGTCCGTCCCTGACACTATGGTACTCTGATGTGGCAAGGCTCCCTCCTCCTCCCAGCCCACACAGGACATCACCACAGGAGAAACAGAAGAGAAAGCAAAACCAGGAACCAAATCCAGTTGACTGCATGATTCCAAAGGCTGGAAGAAATTTACAAGGAGACACAGGTAAACAAAAATATATATAACTTTCTAGAGCTACCTAAACACATTTTTCCTACAGCTTCCTGAACCGGATGCCAAGCGCCTACTAAAAGAAATTTTGGGTCTGTGACAAATACGGCTTTTTAGTTTGGTAGTTTTTGTTTTTAGCATGAAAAATAAATTGAAATGTGTTCGTTTATTACTTATTACTTTTGTTGCACATACATGCGAGTATGAAGAATGCTTAATACATGCCACACATGGTGAGAGCCTACTGTGGCTAGTGACATCACATGCCCTGCAGTGGTCACAACATCTTGGATCTAAGGCTGACCCTGAATAGTCGAAGGTTGTGCCCGCCGACTTGCTGAAAACTGCATGCACATTGTGGTTCTTCGCATACCTAGTTCTGTTTCAAAACGATATAATATTCTTTGTGTGGTTCATCAATGGTGAACCATGTTTATGAACTATAAATAAGCTAAAACAAATGCTTTGATACGATTCGATTGGAAACACTGTTGCAAAGGATCATGAACATCAGTGGACCAGAAGTAGTAGGCTTTGTGGGCAGTATTGGAGCATGTTTCTTCTATAAACATTTGCTTGTCAGAAGCACACTACTCATGCACTGTGCTTGTGCACTGAGTAGCTGTTTGTATTTCAAACAGCTAGAATAAAACTATTAATAGGACTGCTCAAAGTTAAGAGTGATCAAAAGCTCACTCCTCATGAGTTCCACAGAGCACCTGTTTCTGCTGTCACTTTGTTGGTCATTCTGGAAAATATCCTTTCCACATAACCAGTGGATGCTGCGACGCTTATGATGTGGCCGTTGACGGACAGGATAATAATTATAAGTAATTATAAAGGGGGGTGTGAACACAGACATCTACAAACATTTCTAAGTTTATAAAAATATAAACAGTTTTTACGATTGGTCAGTAAATATATTTTTGTTTTTATTTTTTCAGTTTTTATTTAGCATATTGTTAATTCTACAATATTGAAGGATGCAATTCTATAGATTGGTGAAGCATAACACATAGTTGTTTATATTCTTCACATAGGCACAAGGGCCTACATTTTGATTATTAAACGTGTATTAACTAGCCTATATCTGTTACGGTCCGTGTGTGGTGAGCAGGTTGGAGGACCCAAATGCAGGACACGTTGAGTGGAGCAGGTATAGTTCAAAAGTTTAATAAACAAAGGCGAGCACTTACAGGCGGAGTGGCTGATAAACAAGTCCAAAAACAAGGAATCCAAACAAGAAACCAAAAACCAAGACAAGAACGATGAGCAGAGCAGGCTACACAGGACGACACACACCAAGACACTGTAACACAATGTATAACCAC